AGAGTTACAATTTTAAAGAAATAATAAGTTGGTAAAATCTTGGATACAGCATTTGTGGATAATAAGGAAATCGATAGTACCGTTATTTTAGTGAATAATATGCGCGCGTTTACGTCACTCACCTCTTTCTACGTCAATATCGCGTCAGCATGTTAAGCTTCAACGGACCGTGCATGGGCTGCGATAAATTTAGCTTTCAAAAACGTAAAGAAGACGTTCCAGCATTGCTGATTATTTCAATTTATAGTTTTTCATTGTGTTTTGATTTCACTGAATTTGTTCTCGAACGCGCAAATATCTCTTGTATCCAATTCTAGTCTTTTTTACACAACTTTAGGGTCGCGTGACTTGCGTCACGCTATTTCTTATTACGTGATTCGTCCTATACTATCCCATTGCTCACTCGACTCTTGTCATTCCACTTTCTCGACATGTCCTTCATTTTGGCTTCGTACTTATGTAACCTCTTTCATAGCTCTCCTGTATCCAGACAGCCTTTCATGAAATCTTTTCAAAGTAAGGTGTATCTTGCTTTTTTTTGCTTCCCATTTTTTCATTCCGATAACTAATTTATCAGTTGATGCCTTCTCATTTTTTTCACCCGTCAACAAGACTCACGTATGCAATGCAGAGTTCTGCGCGTTTCACGTGTAAGTTCACCATGAAGTCATATGCATCTTGTCCGGAAAAAGAACTAGGTAGCTACAAGAGGTACAAGTAAAAGGGTTTTACGCTGCAACGATTCGCTGGTGAGTTCCACCACGATAAGGATAGGTCGGACTTCTGACTCTTCCCCTCTGTTTTCCACGTAGTGTGGTATTTGTCCCGTGTGTTTTCGTCATTTACGTATTTAGTCATTCATCTTCATTCCTTTCAATGTATTCCTCCCCATACTTCTTTTTATACTTTCCTTTTTGCATATTTCTGTGAAGCTGTGGGGATTTTATTTATGTAAAAATAAATTTGAACTTAATTTAGGTTTCATTCCATACTTTTTTCATTTCATACTTTTTTTATTTTATTTCATGCTACATTCTTTTTTTTATTTCATACCATACTTTTTTCATTTCATAGGTTTCATTCCATACTTTTACTTTGTTACTTGTTTTATCTATATCTTCTTTGCTCATCATTGTATTATGTGACAAAAACGTAACCAAAAACCTATAGCTTATTGAGATGTGTATTAAGAGCAGTTACTAGACAGTGAGAAAGAAAAGTACAATATTTTTCTGGAACTAAATTCAGAAAGCATTAACATTGGCATGTCTAAGTGAACTAGTTGCTACAAGCATCTGTCTACGGATCTTGTAATAGAAACATCACACTACGAGTTCCAGTAAGGAATAGATGAATCGATAGATAGTGCAGGATTTTGTTATATTTCAGTTAAAATATAGCCAGCAAAAGTGGAGTAATGGGTGATAGTGATGATGAATACCATAGACGTGGTGGACGTGATAAATTCGCACGTGAACGCAATGATTATCCTGACCGGACACGACGCGACTACGATTATGATAGGTAATGTTTGGATGGTAGTAAAACAGTAAAGTACGAAAACCCAGAAGTTTTAAAAATCCGAGAATTATGTAAGAGAAGTAGTTCGCTTACTCTCTGCTTCATTCCTCTTCCCAGTATTAATTTATGCAAAGTTTGTATTTGTTGACATTTTTTGACGTCGTCATATGAAAAGACGGTAAAACTTGGATAATATTATTTTACCATAAATAGCTATATAAAAACTTGAATCTCTTCGGTTGAGCAAATCATTATAAACCCAAAAATTATACGGTCTTTCTTTAGACGTGGTGGCGGTAGTGGTGGTGGTGGCGGTGGTGGAAGTAATACGTATCAGCGAGGTGATTACACGAATGGCTCATCGATGAAACGCTCTTCATCGCGTCGTGATGATTATGTATCCAGCATGAAGCGTAGCCGAATTGAGTAAGCCAAATATTGATGCAAATGTAAAAACAGGTTTCATTAATGCCTAACGTACTGCTATGCTTGATGTGCATACTTAGTGATGCGCAACTGATCGCAGGATTATCCTTTCCTCCTGTGCATCAGTTCCGCCTTTGATAAGGCATTCGGTTGCCGTGAGATTGGTGTTAGAGCGTTAGGAGTCTTTCTCCACTTTCCTGAATTTGAATATAGCTTTCCACATCTCCACATTATGCAACCGTTGCTACTTCTGCACCGGGTGGTATTGTTGGATACAGTGCAATAATGAATCTCATGTTCCGTTCACATCCAAAATTATAAATTCAAATCGTCGTTTCTAAACGAATAATTTAGCAGTGCGTCCGACACGTATGATCCTGTGATGAAAACATCTGCGGAGGAAGAACCAGCGCCGGTAATGATGACGTTCAAAAAATTCCTTGCAACACAGGATGATTCGATAACCGATGAAGAAGCAATTGCTAAATATTCAGAATATAAGCTGGAATTTAAACGACAAGAGCTGCACAAGTTCTTTCTGGCACATAAGGATGAAGAGTGGTGGGTGATGGCACAGATGCCGTATCTACTAATTCCTTCGTTCTTTTACTAATTTTGTATTTGTATTGTTTTTGCTTAATTCAAGGAAGGATTTCCTATGACAAGCTCATCTTGCAGAAGTATTTTTTATTAATGGGTTATTTTGCTAACGGTAAGTTCTTGAACTCTTCGCTCTTACTTCTGCCGTACTTTTTTAATAGTTTTTCGGCTTGAAATTTTAGAAGCAGGAGTAAGGCAGAAGGAATTTCTTGATTTCCCAATTTTTTCTTTCTATGTAAGTAGCTTTAGTTCAGCAAAATGAATTTTTGAAGCCTTCTAAAGGATACGCTTTGGGCCAGAATTATTGTGAGTGTAGAGCTGCACTTCGCAAAGCTGCAAACTCTTAAAGGCTAAACACTTTTTCTGGTAATCTTTAAGCCCTCTCCATCGTTTATATTTTACAGAGTAGTCAAACCTGTATCACCATGGAGTATGCTGTAATAACTTCTCGTTACCGACAAGGAACGTGAAGCTTAGAAGCATCCCATGTAGTTTTTCAAACGTTATGTATTTCTGAGGCTTACATAGATCTTTTGTGTATGAGATGACGCTGCTGGAGAGTCCATTGATACTTTGTATGCTTATGGAAGCTAACTTATTGGAAAATGACTGCTACACTTTTGTGGTTGTCAGTACTTTACTGTAAGTTAATATCTTTGGTTTGGTAAGAAGGGCATCGGTAAATACTGTGAAAATTTGGCTGACCAGAGGCGCTGTATGCCGCGGCAGTCATCATCATTTAAACGTCATTTACGTCGCTCAATAATTCGGAATTGTTCTCCGTCGCACAATCATCAGTAACATCAACATCACATCTACGAAATATTCAACTTAACATCATTATCTTCTATCTTCAAACGATTCATTTCATTCACTTGCTGACCACAACTTCTCATCTCAAAATTCGTTTTACTTCTCGACAGTTAACCAGCCACACACTGCTTGGATCGTCAGCAACACGCTTCTCAAATTTATTTGAATATTCCAAAATAAGGGTTCCATGAGATAGATGGTAGAAATAAGTAAATTAATATGTTTGGAAGTGGAAGATGGGAAAAGTAAAGTATTTTTGGTACAAATTGCGGTTTCGCGTACAATATGTTGTCATGATAATGTCGCATTCAGTTGGTTATTGCATTATTGAACTTGGCACAAGAAAATATATTTTGATTTCTGGATTTAAGTTCTAGAAAATTATTTTATAGGTTCCGTCTAAAATATCATCCGGAAGATAGTGGTAGGCGAAAAACTGAGCAAAAGGAAAATGTATTGCGTCGACTGGAAATTTTCCAAAATCTTTATGACGAAGGATGCATCGATAAGTTGCAAATTGATTATGATTATGCACCAGAAATTATACGTGTCATGGATACATGTTAGTATTATTTTTTGAAATTTTAACGCTAAGATTTTGAAAGTTGTGAGTGGATTTGCTTTTGTTTGATCATCTGTTGTACCTAGGTTTCGTAAAGCCATTTCAGTGGTTGTCAAATTGGAAGGTGGCACGGAAGATGATGTAGCAGCTTTGAAAAATGAGAAAATTGACGATGAATCGGTTTTGGAGTTGAAAAAGCTGAAAAGGTGCGTTTTTGTCTCCTGTAAAAAAAAGAAGAAACTTTAAATTGGTTACGAAATTTAGCGAATATTCCAAAAACATTTCTGTCGGTAAGAGAGATAATAGCTTTCGCTTACTTTCAGAAGGCTGGACCTATCATAATTGGCAATTTTAGTTACGTCGAAAGTATCGTTGTATAACTTTTAGCAGTCGTGAAGGATTTTTTGTATCAAATTATTCCTGTTTGAATTTCGAGTTATTGCGTTTAGTGGCGAAATTGTCCACTTCTTTTTTCTTTCAGTGAAACAAAGAAAAAGGTTGCTGAAATCAATGGAGAAGAGAACAAGTCGAAGCAGGAGAAAGGTGGGGAAAATCCTAATGATGATGGTGCTATAAGTGATTCTGATGATGAAAAAGAGAAACAGTGCAAAAATGGTATTTTTTTGTCTTACATATAACTATAGATTTAAAAACGAAGGGTTTAGTAAACTAAAGATTCCTTTTTAACTTGTTCGCTTGTTCGAGATTTAATTTTAAATTCACTCAACTTTTTTAATTACTGAAGCTTCACTGCTGTCGTATGTTATTGACATTCCGATTTTTCTCCTGCAGGAATTTTATCATTATTCGTCCCTGAATTTTTGTTATTCGTTGGTCGCCAAGAAAAATATCCTGAATTCTCTTAAATTGTAGCTGGAAATGAAGAAAGTGTTAAAAATGAAGAGGAGATAGGTCGGCAAAAAAAGAAAATGTTGTTGCATAAAACTTCGAGCATTTTCCTTCGCAATGTTGCACCGAATATTACCATAGAAGAAATTGAAACGGTTTCTTTTCTCTCAGTTTGCGGTACAGTTTGTGAATGTCTTTGTATGAATAAATAGATGGATTTTTTCACATGGAATTTTCCAGAAATCATTAAAATTTTAGCATCCAACAAAGCATTTGTAGGCATGCAAACGATTTCCTGGATTTTTGCGGGTTGGTCTTGCGGATCCAGTACCTGATCGGAAATTCTATCGACGTGGCTGGGTAACATTCAGACGCGATGTCAATATCAAAGAAATCTGTTGGAATTTGAATAGCGTCCGCGTTAGTTATTTCCTAATTTTTTTTTTTCAATTTGAATTTGTTGAAAGGAGAAAATGATCACATGTTAATAGTTTTACTGGGTAACACAAAAGCCAGTAACATTGTTATTTTCTTTTAAATGATCTTGGGCAAAGTTGGAGTCTTGTTTGCCACATCTTATAACATTCTAAAATTCAAGAAACGCATCAAAGGTTGTTTTTATAAAACTTTAATATTTCACATGCAGATAAAAGAGTGTGACCTTGGTGCAGTGATAAATCGAGATATAGCCCGTCGTGTGCGATCCGTAAATGGTATAACCGGGCATAAACAGGTCGCTCAAAATGATTTGCGACAAGCAGCCAAGCTCACTGCTCTATATGATAAAAAGGTAGGGTTTTGTTACATTTTCATAGAGCCTTTCACGAAAATTTTATTATAATGAAGTGTGTTTCTGTCCTCTCAGTTTGAATTTCATAAGGGACTGGCGAATGTTAGTAAAGTGTCATTAAAAAGATTTTTATATCTTAGTCTTCATTTTTCAGATTGGTATCTATCAATCAGAAAATCAAGAAGAGCGTCAAAGCAGCTTTGAACTGGATGTTGTAGCACAAAGTCAGAATCCATTGCTAAAGAATCTTACTGATTTTCTCATTGAAGAAGCAAGTGCTGAGGAGGAAGAATTACTGGGCATTTCAAGTGGTAAATATTTTGTCTGCTGGAATACAGAAATGAATACTGTCCAAGTTGTTAATGAAATATTTTGGAGCTTCTATTTTTTTGCAAATATTCATACGTAATGATATCCGAACTTTAGCTCTGCTATCATAGTTAGGTATGTGTTTTATTTTTGTGTATAACCGTTTAAGTAAAAGTAATAAAAGTTATAAGGGAATTACATAACCAAGAGTAATAAAAATAGGAAATATTTAATTACAGAAGGTATCATTGAAGAAGACCAAAAAGTTCCATTTCAACGTGATGATGCTTTGATCGCGAGACTTGATCGAATCATAACTTATCTCCGTATTGTACATTCCATTGATTTCTATAATCATGGCGAATATCCTAATGAGGATGTAATGCCAAACAGGTTTATCTTGATTTTTATTATTTGACATCGGCAATACATATACGCTGTCTTAGATAAACATTTGCCAGGCAGGTTATTTTTCAGTTTGGCTTTGTTTTCGACATTATAGATGGGGAAAGAGCCACCTTTATAAAATTGACTGAATTGTTGATCGTTTAATCCTCTGAATAACTCTTCTAGATCATTTGCGTAATCTTGCATGCAACGTTTATCCAACCTTACTAGGTTTCAGATGCGGAATGATGCATGTCCGTGGGGCGCCACCATCTACAACACAGTGGGGGACTGATGAAAACGGTAGAACGTTGGTTGCGCAGAAATTCGTTACTGATTTCATTACTGGATTTAATAATCGGATAGAAACAGCTCTGATGAGTGAAACTTCTTTAAGTGAATCGGAATTGGACAGTTTGGGTAGGAAAGATACCCAAAAGTGAGGATATTTTCCTTTCCAAAAATCTCATGTTTTTCCTTCCATAAATTTTATATTTCCAAATACCAACTAGCTGTGGATGTGACTCTAAAAAAGTAGTTTTGACCTGGAAAAATTACCATAGCATATTTTATTAAAGAGCTTAGTTTTGCCAATACATGCCGTAGTATTTTGAAACTTTAGCTGTCTGAAGTTTTCATGGTCCTTCTTTGAAAAATTGTTTTAAAGGGAAGTGGAATCATTTATCACAGCTAATTGTGTTGAATTAGCCAAAGATAAATGGTTATGTCCATTGTCGGGAAAAAAATTTAAAGGACCCGAATTCATACGAAAGCATCTTACGACTAAGCATGGAGAGAAATTGGATCAAGTTAGACAAGAGGTTTGTTTTTATTGATTCCGATTAACACCTTTGACTAGTATTCTTCGGATCTCTCTATTGTACCATCCTTTATAATTTTGGAATTGACAACCACACATATCCATTAAGAATTAGAACTTTTCTGTTTGAGTAGTTTCTTTGCAGGTAGTTTATTTTAACAATTATTTGACTGACCCGAAACGACCGCAAAATTTGGAGGTCAAACCTGTTCAAACGAGTCCGCAAGTACCTCCACCACGAGAAGAACGGCGTGAACGTGAACGTGGTAGTTTTTTTTTTTTTAAAGTAAAAAAGTTTAGAAGTTTGAAATCTTTAAATTTCAGATTTCTTGAACCATAGGTATGCTGCTAACTAGAATATATTTTAATTCCTTGTTTTTCGTAATTTAGAAATGGAAATAGGGACAGATAATCCGTATTTCTGTTATTCTGCTCAGTTTTCAGACTATGATGGTGAGCGAGGTCGGGCGAGTGGGGCTGTTGGTAACTCATCATCTTATGGTGATCGTGATCGTCGTGGTGGTTATGAGCGTAATACTGGTGGGAGCAGTGGTGGGCGGTATGCTAGCTCGTATGGTGGCCGAAGCTACGAACGTGGCGGGACATCCCGATATTGGGAGTCATCGGGAAGTGGACGCCGTGATCCACGTGAACCGGTCACATACAAAGATCTCGACGCACCAGAAGATATTTTCTGAACTTAAACCAAAAATTGCTGAAGCTAAAGTGTTGTTTTCGTTTTGATCCATTTTTGATCAAAATATTATTTTCGAAATTTCAGCTGGATATCCGAATGAAAATCTTTTCCATGGAAATTAGAGATAGAAACTTGTACTGTGATATTCATCACTATACTTTTGATCATCTGATAGATTTTGGTATATCTGTTCGTTTTTTTTTTTTTTGCAGTAACCACTTATTGTGCATTCTTCTCATGTTACTGAGACGTTGTTGCATATCGGATATAATTCATGGCATTTCCGATCTTGTCAAATTTCCTTGGTAACTGTGCATCCGGCAATTTTCTCTGGATTGTATTGATCATATTCTCCATTTCGAATATTGAAAAGCACAGAACTCTCTTGACCTCATTAATATATCTTAGAAGGGGCAAGAATCAAATTTAATAGATTTCTGTATTAGGAACAAGGTAAGCCTGTTCTAGGTGGGCAATCATTAAAAGTCTTTGAAAGAACTGAGGTAAAGGTTCGTCTCTTACACTCATGTGTTGTAAGTGAAGAACTAATTTTCATACTATTTTTAGTGGTATAACGAAATTGGCAGTATTATCCTATACACCCCTTCTTTTTTCTTTGGATCTGTTATGCAAATGATACTTTTTACCGCTCTTAATTGTTGTCGTAAATTTTTATTTTAATTTCATATTTATATTTAAAAAGAAGAGACGTTGTAAAAGAAAACATCTTTTTCCTATTAATTCCTTTTCGTAAAGTCGTTAATAACCATTTGTTTTCTTTGGTATATTTTTTACTTTATTCGGTATAAAACAGGAACAGAGATCATGACGTTTTGTGTTTTTTATATGGCAATATGTTTAATGCTCTGTGCGATGAGTACCTATCCCGTATTTTTATAAAAGCATAGGTAAGGTAGGATTGTAAAATTCTATGGAATGTAAAATCCTTTGAGGGTTATAAAGTTCTTTTTTGAATGGCATGAAATTGGTGGAGTGAGAGATTCTTTGAAAAATATAACGGCTACCAAGTCTTTGTAGATCGATTTAGACATGATGATAATGATGCTGTCAAATGCAGATGGTAAAGGGGTTGAATTATTTTCTGCCGGAGGGAGTCTGTACTTTACGCGATTTAATTGATTGCAGTTTTCAGAATGTCTGTGGAAAGTATACCTCGTGATTTGCGTAATTTACGAGCTTGCTTACTATGTTCAATGATAAAGAGTGTTGAGCAATTTGAATTGGATGGTTGTGATAATTGTGAAAGATATTTGGGGATGAAAGGTGACGAAGAGAAAGTTAGTGAATGTACCAGGTAAATCATTTTGTGATTAGTTAAGATCCTTCAAAACTTTCAAAGGATAGCTGTCCTGCACTTGTTTTCATTATACACTTATCGCATATCGATGCAGATTTTACCGCCTCAACCCTTACATGATCACATTTAGTTATAAAGCAAGGTCTGAAGTATCTTAGCTCTTAACCCTGGGTGAAGGTTCACTCTGTTTCTTGTTGGGATATGCTTGATTCAAAATTTGAGCATCAAAATTTGCAACTTCTGAACCGAAACTAGGAATAAGTGCAAAATTGTATTTGAAGTGTCATTGACGAGTGTAGTAGACGATACCTTCACAAACCTCGTGAAACATTTTTTACATAGCATTCGGTGTTACCATAGTAATCCATACTTATACAACAAAATTCAGGGATTAAGCTAACACTAACTTTTGAGATTGTAATTAGGAGAATAAACTCGGGGAGTTCGAAGTTATTAGATAGAAGCCAAATTATGGCAAATATATAGCTTGGTTTCTCAAAAGCAGAATTTTTTTGACCCTGCAAAAGCACCTAATTGCAGTTCAAATTTTGATGGAATGATAGCTGCGACGGTACCGGAAGAGTCGTGGGTATGCAAATGGCAAAAAATCAACCGCAAAGTAAGCCATTGCCATTGAAACAATTCTAGTATTTTTGTGCGCGGTCAGTTATTTTATCTTTTTCCAAAACTCTTCGGATTACAAACCATTTTAGGTAAAAGGGATTTACGCAGTTTCGGTGTCCGGTACTTTACCATCTCATATTGTTCAAGAATTAAAGGCACAAAATATCCGTTACAAACCTAACATGCGCGATATGACTCAAAACAGTTAACTAGTGATTTCATACCTTCTGTACATACATTTGTTCGTGTATATTTTTCTGTTTATAATAAATTTATCGCCAAAAAATGGTGCATACTGCGAGAAAATAGGGTAGTTTTCAACTCCATTCACTCTGGAGATTGTGTTCTTAATTCTGAGGATCTTAGATCTTAGACTAGTGCGAACTGAACTCATTATTGGTGTCGGTTATTCGCATCTTGAACAGTGCTTTGGCTTAGTATAATGTGGCACTTTAGGATTTTATGTTCGATCTATATTCCAGTTCCGTGCGTAAACTTAATGTGGACAAATCGAACATGAAATGCCAGATAATTTGATAATAAGTAAACCATCCGATATACGAACCACAACAGTGAGGTTAGGTGGTAAGATAGAGTCTTGAACAATTTGTGCATATTTTGGGAAAGTAGTGTCTGAGTAACGTCGCCCAAAAGTTTTTTCACCATAATTTCCTCAAAAATTCATCACTACTCAAAAATTAACACAAATGTCTATTAATTTTATAGGATAACAATGAAAATGATTCCAATAAAAAATTTGATTTTTTTGGGGACTAGTTCGTGCCGACTCATTTTTTTAATTACAAGACTGAAATGAGGTAAAACGCATTACGTTTTCTGCCTTATCTCAGAGGAATTTGTCGCAGTGTTTGAATGTTTAAATTAAATTTTCTTCATTAAAACGACGTGACGCATTACACATCTAAAATACAAATTAATCACTGCTAAAAAATAGCAGAAGAGGGTAGTGATGCCGGGAGAGCGTGATATTTACAAACAACAGTATAAAAACAGTAATTTAACTCTAAAACATCAAGCTTGTGACTGACTTAGCATACGTTTTACGGTTCTTTGCATATCCATAATGGAATCCGTATATGAGGCAACAATAGATGAGTCGACTTGGGCTTGTTGCTTGAGCAATATAATGTATACTGCCTAAAAAATAATCGAAGAATGAATTCAGCTTCAAATTCATTGCACTACCACGACAGTATATCTCAGCAAACCTTGCTGCAACCCAAAGCAATGCAGTGTAATGATGTGCAACCTATCAAGCAAAATTGAACTTCTAAAAGTCACTCCTTACAGTTGCCTGCAAAGGATATATCGGAACGAAAATTTCTGAAATGCCTACCTTATCATAATCGTTACTAATTTCTGGAATGAGATCATCACTTTTGAGCAGTTTATGAACATCAGATAGCTGAGTATTTATTGATGTGACACCTTTATTAATCATTGTCCGTACTTCATGCAACCTATTCAGTACAACATTTTTCCTTTGATTCTGGAAGAGAACAATGAAGATGTATGGAAGAGAAAGTAGGAGAAATCTCATATTAACCTGACAGTGTCAAAAAAACACAGTATACCTTTCAATCCTTCAGTCAAAAAAACATTAAATTTCAAAGCTCTCGGAGCAAAAAGTTTTCTACTGTTACAAGACACAACCAAATACACTCTGATCTGAAATCACTTGAAAAAATACGTCAAAAACGAAAACTTATGCTGGTCGGTGTAATCATTTATAAGGAAATTCAGGACTAGTTTACCAAATGAACTATTTCAAAATAAAAAGTTATTACATAGTTTGAAATTTGCAACACAACTCACCTTCGAGCAGTTACTCTTCCTAGCTCCCTGACTCAGTGAAAATGCAAAAATATTATCCAGAACCATTTCCAATAATTTTACAATTAGCTGCGCAAATGAAAGAACTTGTAGCACCATGCTGCAGTGTCGTAATGTTAAGTGGAAACAAAGTGCACCCGTAGTAACATCCGACGCAACGACAGCTGGAAAAAGAGATTAATTCTCATTATAAATTTCATTAAAGGATAAAATTTTCTGCAATATTAGAAATCCAAATTTAGAAATTTAGGGTTTCTCGGCCAGTATTAAACTAAACTAAATGACGATTGTTCGGGATATAACTGTGACATCCGACCGAAAGAGTAGAGGTCTTTAAGCACAATTCGTTTTAAGCCTAAAATCTTTGGACCCTATTTTTCTTAACAAACGAAAAACTTTTGATCCTTAATCCATCCAAATCATGAAGAGTAAAAACATTATAACTAACCAAATTAATCGATGGTTTAGATTAACTTTCAAAATAAGCAGAAAAATTGAATTCAAAACTAGCAGCAACCTACCAATAACTAAATCTTCAACTTCGGCAACATCTGGCAAACACTGAAGCAATTTTTCCTCATGAAGATGTTCAATAATCTTGAATATATATGTTTAATTTTTTATTATGAAATAAAACAATGCAAAGAAGAGCTTCGCCGGAAATATGGTTTATGTAATAAAAAAAGCAAGAATACATTTTTTTCAATCGTCATCACAAATTACAGTCGTTCATTCTTGTCACATACCTCACCGTATGGAGAATAACTCCAGTTCCGTGCTTAATTTGTGACCAAAGTTGCTCTATCACCTTTATAAATCTTAATTTTCACATCATCTAATACAGTAATTACTAGATTCATTCTGACAAACCACGAACATTCATCTAAAAATCTTCGAAAAGAAAACCTGAACTATTTAACTAAGCTGATACATTTCCCTAAAGAGTTAACTTACATTAGATGAAACTATGTGTTCTGAACATTCCACCACATTTGAAGCTGATTTTAATAAAAGCATCAACAAATCCATTTTTGGCGTATTTATCAATTCACTTAAATGTACTGGTGGAGGAGACTGTAACAAACTGGGCTGAAATCACGTTTTCTTAGTTAAGAAAGAAAATGATGACATATAAAAATCGCACACCACATTTCAAAATTACAAAGTTTGTATTTGAAAATATGTAAGAAGGTAATACGTCAACATCGTTCATAATGCTACGGTATTGGGAAAAAAGCGTGGAAATATTGTTAAAAAAAAGCATTGTAAAATTTCCTACTGGGAATCCAGAAGACCCAAAGTGATTTATCGGAACGTTTTTAATAATCTCACCAAAGTCTCATCCTCCTTATATGTTTGCTTGCAATGTTCGACATGCTTCTTAAGTTGATCCAGAAAAATGGACAAATTCTTTCGCGTACATTTAGAATGGCCTACAGCCGCTATTGATTTCATTAGCAAATGGCTTAATTTCATTGCGTCACACTGGAAAACATCAGTTCGTACTTATTGGTACATCATAAATTTTACGAAATTTTATAAAGAAATATAAAAAACCAAATAAATTTTAAAAAATAAAGCCCGACTTGTTCATGATATGTACGCTGCTTCATTTCGTTAAGCCTTTGCTGTTCTCTGATAGCATCAAACGATGGTATAACACCGAAATCACGATTGTCTTCAAGCCCAAGAAAATCTGAAATGTTTCAGTAATCTTTTTTTAATTACTGTTGAAAAATTACCGTTGATTAAAGAAAGAATTATTTACCTAGTTATTATGTAATTATTATCGAACAGTTGTCTCCAATACTGCGTCTTCACTTTTTACAAATATCTTTCCCTTATTTCTTCTATATTTCTTAGTCAGCCATTCAACCATTAATAAGCACAAAGGGTGGGACAACATTTAACTAAATTTATAGCGTAGTCATGGAAGAAGATTCGTGCAGTGAGCTTTAGTGAACTTTAAGATATGGCATCTTTTTTTTTTGGGAGGGGAGAGGGAATTATAAATGGATTACTGAAAAATAATCCCTTCACAAATTTCAAAAAATAAGATACCATGTGTTAAATTTTAATAACGGTAGCAGTTGCTTCTTGTGACTATTTCATTACCAGAGAATCATCACAAGCAAGTGCTACAGCTATTAAAATAATTGTCAAAGAAAACTGACCAATCGGTTCCTCATCGCCGTACATAGTATCAACAACAAGTTGAACTTTATCGACTGCAAAACATGCACTCAATGCTCGGGTCTGTATATCAACACCGACAGCAATGAACGATTTGCTGATTTTATTGAGGAATTCAACCAGTCGTGGCACTTGCAAAAAACTACCATTTTTGTAAGCAGTAGTTAAACATTCCGACACCTGTAACCAAAAAAAAATTTGAAAAAAAGCAGCAAAAACTTAACTGCCCAGGAAATAACCAGCCCTCTAACATAAAATAAGCACTTCAATTGAAGGACAGTTATCAATTCTCAACTGTTGAGTCAAAATTCGCATATAAAGTTCTAGTTTTTCACTTCAAAACATTTGCAGAACTGTGTGAAGCATCCAAGAATTTGGTTAAAATATTATATTCTTTAAAAATTCTAAATAAAAAACAAAAACACTGAACAATTCTAAATATAAAACAAACCTCCTTTTCTGTTTGATCGAAGAAAGCGGCAAGTTCCGTATAATGAATTATAGCACTATTAAACTTACCATATTGCTCTAACAGACCATAAACAAGATATCCTGAAATAAAGCCGTAATCAAATTAGATGATGATTGTCATTCCTTGTGTTTAACAAGTAACGGTACTTTTATTCCGGTAATGATACTTTCATTTGTCTTTATCCTGGATTTCCATTTTTTTCTTTTTTTGGGGAGATTGTGGTAGTAAGATTCAGAGATATAGATCAGAACCAGGAAGGACGTTTTATCCGAGAAAATAAAATGAATTTATTAACCTAAAGTATCCCTTTGAATATATTTTATATCCAAAGCACGCATAAACCTTTGCACTTGAGTTGTAACACCAATTGAAGAATACGCTTTACATAAAACAACAGCACTGATCGGATCTGATGGGTGATTTTTTACAACCCACTCCAGCAGCAATATCAACTCATATAATGCGTCAGCATCTCCTAAATATTGGAAAATAAATTCAGTTAAAACTAGCACCAACAATGTTCAGTATTATTTGATAACTAACATTAGCTCAAGATGTTGATCCCTATTTCATCACGCTCAATTCACTATATAAAATATAATATCGAAAATTTTCCTTATTTTAAATCCACAGTAGCAAGACAGTGAGTCCAGATATGATCACCAAAGACAGAATCCATAAAAATACAATACTTGGATACAGCAGAAATCAACGCTCAAACGCGTGATTTAAGTTTCAAAATCCCCGCGTTTTACATATCCCGAAACAGTTGATAAGCTACCAGCAATATACACAATCCCTAATTTTATTCTAATGCATGCTACATAAAAGATTACTATTAAAAAACAAGAAAATTCCTTTCGTATTCGAAACACTTCACTTACTTGCTAGCTTCGAATGGCAAAAATATTGTAGCGATTGTTTATTTGAAATCAAGCATAAATGAATTTACCGTTATCAGCATACAAGTCCCACAGCAAATTTGCAGCAAGATGAGCATATACAGCTGCAGCAAGATCACAATCCGAACAGCAATCTATCATTTTGACCATATAAGTGACAGCTCTTCTTCTTTCTACTGCTGATAGTTTCTCATGAAGTCCTAACCCTCGCCGTAAACGCTGATATACAATGTCAGCCCAGTGCACGTTTGTAGTCTGTAAAACGAAAATTTTGAATATGATGAATTTAAAAATTGAATCCATTTTGTCCAACACCTCTCTATTAGTGCGTTCACTGACCATTGTATAAAGTAAATAGAGCAAATTAGAAAACAAATAGCGAATCTAATAGTTTTGCAGAAAGACTCACTTTCCCTCCCTCTTGATTATGTTCTTCCTTCAACATACTGATAAAATCCGAAACTCTTTGCATAAAATCATCAATCTGATTATCCCTTATAAGGCAGAGAAAGGGCTTCAAATCAACATAACAGCACGGCTTACTGTGAAACAAACGGATATACTCAAACAGATACTCATGAGGATCACCTGTAATTTTCTCTTATAAAAAATATCACCAATAGGTTTCTCTTACGATCACAGAATTTTCGAAACCACTGAAGCATGTCTAAATACCGTTTAATAATTCCATAAAAACTGTTCAAAAGACCAAACTGCTGATGAGGCCCAATTCTTTCCCGCACAAGGAACTTACTAAGTTTGAATGTATCTAGTAGACCGTTTGCTACAATTTCATTTTCAAGTAATTTCTTGACAAATGTCAAGCGTGCAAGATATGGTCCACGTAACAGCATTTCATTTAACGGTTCCGCTACCAGTGACAAAATCCGTTCAATAACTCTGTTGAGCAATCTGAAAAATGAATGTCACCTTAGTAAACTTGAAAAAAATACTGCAGAATTATCAATCTGAATGCTTCCTGAAAAAAAAAACTGAAATTCAAGTGTCCCTGACTCCTGGAAACTATAGTTTGAATAAAACAGTCATCCTCCGCACCTTTTTCTTGCTTCCTCTTCTTCGATACCCTTCACAGATGCAAATGTTGAATCAAACAAAAACATCCACAGTGACCAATCGTCAGGACTGCAAATTAAATAAGTGAATTTCTCATATAAAAAAGGGTATTGCGAATTATTGAGAATTGTTTTTTAAAAAATACTTCTTTTATGAGAAATGAAAACTGACTTGTTCTTTAATTCATTGATACTTCGCTCAATAACAGTCCCATGATCGCCTTCCAGCTGATATAATCTTAAAATATTGTGGAACAAAAATTGCGCAGGTTGTTTTATATGTCGACGCGCCAAATTATCTGCTAAAATACAACAAATTTTGAAAATTAAGATAATTTAATGAACTAAATTTTAATATCAATTTTAATTGCAATGTCACATTAATTGTCTTTGCAAACTGGTAGAAAAATCCCATGAGGATGGCATACCCCTACAAAAATTTGGAATTGCACTTAAAAATTGCAAAAATTGCATTTGAATACTGTGGGTATAATTTCATGGCTAAGCTTCGCGAACGAAGATTTGATAAAGCCTTTTGGATAAATCCATGCCTATTGCAAACACTACAAATGTGGACATATTTTTCCACTAGCGTAGTGGATTTTTTAGGTGAGATACAGCGCGCTGCTTACGGAAACTATCCTTTACTGCTTCATCCATCCTATCTCCATCCTTTACTTCTGAGATTCATCTGCCAGGACCAAGGGAACTGAGATGTGATAGCGAAGTCATTTCTTCCTAAGAAAATGGGTTTTCTTAGACTGCCCTTCTCTTAGATGGATGAGCCTACCGGGTCGTATAGGTGTATACACGTAAAGAATATACCTTCAAGAAAGAGCGCAGCTTTCGCATACTGCCCTGAATTTTCCAAAATAAGGACATACAAATCACATTCTGAAATTCGAAAGGATAAAAATTCGTCTAAATTTACATCACGTCACAAGCTCGAAAAAAAGACGACTAACAAATGCCTTAAGCACAATTTATACTAAGCCATCTCACGTTATATTCGTACGAAAATAAATTCTAAATCAGAAACGTCGGAATACAAACCAGCCTCGGCTTGTATTGAATTGGATTCGATCATTTTTGTAACCATTTTTTCGGCTAATGGGTATAGTGTCGACTGAGCAAGATTCTGATCCCCCGTAATTGCCTGCAACTTTAATTAATTTAAATTACTTGAAGCTTTACTGGAAAAGCACAAGTAGTAAATTACTGGTAAAGCAAAGTATTTTGATATGGTTCTAAATTTTAAAATACGCGAAATCGGCTTATAGGACTAATTTTTAACCCCAATACACTGGTGCCAAACACCAGATGCTTGTTCAATTTTCAAACAAACTTTGTTCAAATTGTGATGATTAAATACACCAATGAAAAAGTCTATGAAAAGACTTTTGCAACTACCATCAAAGAGATTATGCAAAACAGTATCGGACATCATAACATACACTATTCGATTATTAAAGAAGAGCCCTTTTTCTTTCAAATAGTAAAGCGCTAAATGAAGAAATGAATTGACCTGCATGACAATACTCATAACATTCCAGAAATAGTACGGATTTCGCTGAAATTCTTTATACAATGCCAAAGCTGTTTTCTGTTGCTTTTTATAATTTCGCACACGAACATAACTCATAAATAAATGAGTCAGATACTGTTCGTTTTTGGGATAACGAGCACAAACCTTTTCGTATAATACAGATATTCTTTCAGGTGTATAAGCTTCCTGAAATTACACGAACAGAAAATATCAAACGACTTGCTAACTACAAGTGCAACCAGAACCATCAAAATATACTTTGAAGCGAATGCAGATGAAACTTTGTTAAAATGAAACATCATTTCCAAACTTTCGATTGGGAAAGAATAAACGTGGTTTATGATAACAGTGATAACATATAAGCTTAACTGAAACCTTAAAACAGTGACACAGAGCTTGAAGAGTATTTTCATCCAAATCATCTTTCACTGATTCAACTTCATCGATCAATGGCCATGCTTCACTTACACGATCGGCACGAATCAAAGCGAGTGCTTTCAAAACCTTTAAAAAATTTACATATGTTTGGGCAAATCAACACATGTACAAAAATAATTTCGACTAGTTTCCTGCACAAAATTTTCGGCTGGACAGAAAAGTAGAGCAGCAAGAAAACACTTCAAGAGTGTATGAAACAAATAGCTTTTCTGAAGTAATCATCAACAGTGTCCACTATCATATGATGGACAAGTTGGTTTGAGTTGGTATCTTCTAAGTGGACAATTCACCTCACCCATTTACGCTCTTGACCAAAATAAAGCTATTCGTCCTGATGCATGCATTAACTGCGAATTATTCCATCCAACTAATCACTCAATTAATCTATTAAACAATGAATACCTTGGCACAGTGAGTAGTGGGATGTTTCTTCAAGACTTTGTCTGCTTCCTGCATTGCTTTTTTGTTACTTCCTGCATCAATTGCATCTGAATTGTGCGTATTTTTAATTTTTCTGAACGAAATAGTAAAATAATCGCCATTTTATTCAAACAATCAGTTTTCGCCACAAAGGTTTTAGAAATTTAGAGAATTACTTGGAAAATTCAAATTTGACCACACCACTTGTAATATTACAAATCAAGCATACCATATATCGGTTTGAGCCGTCTTTCCAAGACGATCTGATCACTGCTTTTTGACATTTTCCAGATCAAATCCAACTAAACCTTCCCCAGGTATTAAATTCTAAATAATTGATGTGAGCCACCATAAAGTTGAAATCAAATGAATCATATAAGCGACTTAAATGAAGTAATAATTAAGGTGAATCACACTAAAAGAATTCCAATCATTCGCACCTTACCCAATGCTTACCTAATGAAATCAATCCTTATGTATAGTTGTTTCACAAAAACTTCAACAGTTTACAGACTGTTTAATAGCCAGTGTTTTTCCACTTACCTTTTTAAATACTTAGATATTTTAGATCCTACGTTAATTTTAAGTAAACCCAAGAAAAAAAACCTTCAGTTTAGTCTTAAATTAGAATCATTCCGAAAGCTTCCCAAATATCCACATACTACACGATTCGGAATACTCGTTTACCATGACTAATGAACAATTTATATGAGGCAACTCAGGAAAGCAGTCCGCTAGTTTACCGATACCGGGCGGCTACAAAACCTGTTTAAGAAACCTAAAACCGCACAGAGTCACCCCAAACCATTCCACTCATAGCTGTACCTTAACGAAACACCCCGAAATCCACCCACTTGCAACAATCCCGCGGGATGAAATGGCCCGTTAAATCCCGCTTTCAGACTTTTTTTTGAGTTTTACCTTTGTGAATGGACTTTGTGCCCATCTCAGTTTTTCCCATCGTCACTTTTATTGTTACTTTGTTGTTATTTCACTTGTTGCCCACTAAACTTCCTTGGTGGCTACTCCAATCCAGTCCTTATCAAATTACCGAAAAAATCAGCATTGGACAATTTTTTTCTTTCCCACTCTTGCTGTAATGCATTCACATTTGCTTGATCACAACATCTTTCTCCTACTTGCTCTTTTCAAATCTTTCATGCCCTCAAAATATTTCTCTCATTTACACTGTTCGTTTGAGATAACTAATTTATCGTGTAAATTATACATGAACTGATTCAGGGATCAAGTTTTGCGCTAATTAAGCTGAAATGAGACAGTAACCTCAGTAGTATATTATGTTTAATGTTTGCAGTATTCCAGACTTCATCATCATTGAAAACTTGAATTTGAATATTAGAATTTCTCTTTGAATATCCTTCGACCTAACTGCCAGTTATGTTCAATGCAGATGAGGGTAGCTGCATAAATATATAAATTGTTTTTTTGTCGTATCCAGTACCACATGATGACATCTAACGCTTTCGAATTTTCCAAATCACATGATTTGAGCTAATGCTTTTGTGTATTTTGCTTGTCAAAGTGCACACAATACGATAAGTAAAATTTAATGATTAGGCTCTACCCATATATATTGTTGATAAGATCATTATCTCTTGACTGAGATTTAGCGAATAGCTATTATATTGACGTGTTTGACGCAAGTGGATAGATATATATATATGTATATACAATGAAGCAGTCGAGTAATTTAGAACTAACAACATAGCTTATGGTTATATTAGCGTAAATAATGCAGTTAATATAAGTTACTTAATTACCTGTTTCCATGATCCATAAAATCCACAAAAAAATGATCCATAAGTATTTTGCGCCGCTTGTCATTTTATAACATTCAGAGTAGTGCTTCCCAATCTTTTCTTGACCAAGGTCCACTTTGGCTTTCGTATTTGTAGGAAGGATCGCAAGGTTCAAAAATAAATTCTCGTAATTTGAAAATAAAATTCAATCAAAAACTGTTAGTTCAACTTAAGTGTAATATTATAATGTAAGAAAGGAGGAACATAATTTCCAGTATCCCTCGGCGGACCACCGGTTGAGAACACTACTTCAGAGCAACCGTACAAGTAGATGTTGGAACTGAAAAGCAGAGTTGATGTGTGACAAAAGCAGTATCCACAAAAACTATCCGCTTAGCTGCACAGCGTCTTCTATCTTTTTACTGAATTTCTTTTTGATTTTCGGATAGGTTTATTTTCTAATCCACGCTGTCACATTCGAAATAACTAATTAATTTCACTTTCACTATTTTATAAACATCCTTGCATGTACTGTGCTTTCTCAGGTTTATGATTTATCTTTTAATGTGAATACTCTATTTATTGGAACTGAAAATGTTATGCTTCCTAAATTTGTATTTCCTTGTTGTTAGATTTAGCATTAATCTTAGTAAAAGTTTATTTATAGACCCATGTATTGTCATGAATGAGTTATGGGATCTTTGTATTCACGCACTTCAAGCCGGAATTGACGCTGCACAACCATATCAGCGTGTCCGTGACGTAAGTCTTAGTCGGATAGGTTATTTCTTTAGGTTCAATGCTAAACTAACGGATAGTCATCCGTAATATTGACGAACCTTTTAAAATTTCGAAATTCAGAAAGTCAGGATTTGAAAAATTTCAGACTCTTTGCTTAACAAATGGGTGTATCGAAGTGGGACAACGGATTTATCAGGTTAATCACAATATTCATTTAGCCGCTTTCGGTAAGGCTGCCTTGGATATGGTACGTGGCGCGGAGGATGCATTAAACGGTCATATCATTGAGGGTATTGCAAGTGTTCCACGGGGCACACTCCAGAAATTGTACGTTTTGATTTTTAGCAGGTGCCAAATGGTTGGTAGGAGAAATGTAACTTGCGATCTTTGGAGGAATCCCAACTAAATTTAATGAGGATTGATTCCATAGGACAAAACACATCAACGAGCCGATCTCATTTGTCGCTTGATCTCAACAAATTTAGCTTTTTGTCAGAAAACATATAAATTTACGAACGGAATTTCTGGAAGGTGCAACAAACAATTTGCCGGATGAGGATGCCTGCAATAATGCTCGACTGATTGAAGAAATGGCCGAGAGGTTGCAAACACCAAATGACATCTTCCTTGTGTTAATTTCAGGTTTTTCTTTTCGCCGTCTTATTGGCTTTTTCTTAAAAGGTCAACAGATCATTCATTAGGTAAAATAATGTGAATAAAACGTGATGGACAATAATAAAACCAGGGTAAATTGAAGGTTTAGCTTTTCTTTTAGAAATATGACCGTCATAAATTCAATAATTTTTAGATCTTTTGAAATTCCGGACTGTTGTTTGTGTTTTTCACGGATTTTGGGATTTCAAATGTTGGTTCAGGTGGTGGTTCTGCACTTCTCTCAGCCCCAATATCTGCTGTTTCACTTGATGATAAACGGAAAACCATAAATGCAATGAGTTCTCGAGGGGCTAATATTAAACAAGTGAATACTGTTCGAAAAGCACTTTCACGACTGAAAGGTGGCAAACTGGCTCAAATAGCGCATCCTGCCAAGGTAACCCTTCATTTTACAATTAGCATCACTTTGGGAAATATTTTTTGGTTGCTTGCAATCACTCATTTACTGACACATACATGCAATGTGGAATGACATCTTTTTTTTTGCAGACTTTAGCTGTTATCGTTGCTGATATTGTTGGTGATCCATTGGAATTTATAGCCAGTGGTCCGACTGTAATTTCTCCAGATAAGCCTGATCCAATTACAGTTTTGAAGGAACTGAATGCTTGGGATGCCATACCAAGTTCGGTGCAGGCTGCACTTCACAAGCCTCATGAAATGAACCCAGTCCATGTGAGCACTTGTCTATCACGAATTTTATCTCCAGTTTTAAACAAAAGTTAATTCTGCTTCTTAGCATTTTAGGGAATTTTTTTTAAATCAACTTGCGATTTCAGTCCTAGATTTGTAAGAATTAATGAGCTCTTGGAAAAAGGTTTAACAACCAATCATTCTTTTTTCCCTATTCTTTGTGTGTGAACAGTTATTCAATAATTTTTCGCCCAAAATGACGAAGCTTATGAAAGCACAAGTTTTTAACACCAAATTACTTTCGTTTTCAGGATGTTGATGTTTACAATACAATTGTTTCAAACAATAAAATTGCACTATTAGGTGTTGGTAAGGTATTGAGGAAAGATGGTTATCAGTGTCATGTGGTGAGCAGTGTTGTTGAAGAAGATGCTAATTCATTTGGATCTCAACTTGCCAATATCATTAGTGCAGCACTAGCAGGAAAACCATTTAATCAGGCATTGCTGGATGCGAACATAGTATCAGCAAATAATGCAGCACCATCTGGAGGTAAATACCGATCTACACCAATGCACTAACGAGTTTCATAGAAAGCTTTATTTGCTTAATTGAACTAAAGAAATATTGGTCTAACTGTTCGAAAAATCTCAGATTGTGGTAAATTGTGCTATTTAAGACAAAATCGCTCTGCTCTTTGGTGGTGAATGTACGGTAACAATAAAAGGAAGCGGTAAGGGTGGTCGTAATCAACAAATTGTCCTTGCTGCACTTTCAAAACTGCTCGAGCAGTTTGATTTTGGACAGGAAAAGATGGATTTTGCATTGATGAGTGCTGGTACCGATGGGCAAGATGGACCAACGGATGCGGCTGGAGCTATATTGACTAGTAACGATATGCGATATATTCGTGAATCACAGTGGAAGAAAACAGTGATTGATGATTATTTGAATAATAATGATTCTTATAATTTCTGGAAGAAATTCAATAATGGCAAGTCGCACATTACTTTTGGGCCTTCTGGAACAAATGTTATGGATGTTCAAGTGTTGTTGCTCAAGACGAAATCGAATTTTAGGAAATAAAAATCTAGCTCTAAACAGTTTGGAAATGTTTAGCACTTTAAAATACAAAGAAAACTCTTTGCTTCCTATTCCGTCTTATATTCGTCATAGAACACCAGAGTATTTTGATCACAGTGTTTTTATAATTTCCGAATGAAATTCAGTAAGAACAATAGAGCTGTTCCAGTCAAAAGCTAGGAAGGATAGTTTTGAATAAATATCTGGACTACCGCGATTCTAAGCTGTGCATCTCCTGCGGAATTCGGTTGCGGACTCGAAAGATGACTGCAGCAGTGGTTATTCTATTGTTCAGTAGCGAGATGATTTGACCAGAAGTTTTCTGGGAAAAATTAAGTAGGTTGATGATTTTTAAAATCCGGCAATTAAAGCTGGTGCAAAAGCAAATGCGCAAAAGCAACGGATCTCCTCATCAGAGATCACTCCTTTTTTATTCCAGTTTTTGTGTTGAAAATATGGCATGGAAAAAAAATGTTGGATGAGTCGTCTGTCGTGAAAAAAGAGTAAGGAGATGAAGGATTTTGTTTTGTTAGTTGTAGAAATTTTAAAGAAATGACCAGAATACCGGTATTGTTGTCCGGATACCAAATACAATAGAAACAGGTTCAAAATAATTCCAATCACAGTAGAATGACGTCCAGAATAATACCTGTAGAATTTGTAGGTAGTAACATAGTGAACTGGAAGAAATATGAAGAGTGTGTTGTATGAAGCAGAGTGTCGACTGATAGAATTGAAAATGAATCGATGTTAGAATTTCGTATGGTTTATATTTATTTTATATAAATATAAGGAATGTTTTTTTATATAATTTTATATAATATTTTTTTATATATATATTTTTTTATATAAATATAAGGAATATGTGAAGGGAAATTTCGTAACAATCATTACAAATTGGCAGTATTTTCACAATTGCAAGGGAAATTTACATATTAGTTTTCTTTATAAAAGAAATTGAGTAGAAATTGTTTGACCAGATGTACAGCTTTCTCACAGCTGTATCTAAGATTTGTACATAGGATAAAACCTTTCCAAATTAGTTACCATGAAACATTTCTAGACAATTTGAAGATTAGATAGTTGATACATGACTATTTGAATGAATAATTCTATGATACAACTATTTCGGTTTCTCCAATACTTCCGACTAAGAGAAAATTTTAGGTTTGGAGGATGTAATTAAAAAATATCTATTTGATTTGATTGTTTAATAAATGTATTTTGGTTTTGTTGGGTTTTTAGTGAGACAGCTAACTCAATTTCAGTCGGGTTTGTCGTTCGATTTGAACGTTTAATACAAGACAGATGAGATATGGAACAGAGTAATTCTACTTTCACTTTAATAATAAACCAAACAAATTATGAAAACACAAACGTCCAAAA